GATAATCTAAAGATAGTACTCCCTATATTTGCTTCATTAACATTCGTTCCGATATAGTCAGGTAATATCCGGGGGTTCGCCCCGGATGACTTCTGTTTTTTTCCCGGGTGAAGATTGTGTCCCCTCATATCACTCAAAGTGAAGGTTATTAGAGTACGTGGCTCTATGTATTGAGGGTATGGAGAGCATGACCAATGAAGAGGTGCAGAGTCTCGCGCGGGAGTGGAGGCGCTGGTGCAAGGACACCGCGGTTGATAAGCCCTGTACTCAAACTAGCCATACTGACATTATATTTAAAGATGCATCAGTTTTACAAGCGATAGAAGAAACATTCGGCATTGAATGCTTACCGGTTTCTCAGAAATTGCGCGAACTTAAATTGTACTAATCAATATCATTTCAAACAAGATTTGCTTCGATCCTCTTCAAATCTGTTGCCAGCACTTTGCAGTCAAAGGCAACCATACTAAAAAAGGAATCCATACTTCTCCAATTACTGAGTAGTACAAGCGGGCTCCAAAATGAAGTATCTGCGCTAGTACGTCCTCAAGGCTCCTGAATGGAGAAAATGAGCTTGCAATCCACCGAAAGCTATCAAGGGCCCATCCAGTAATTGCTCCTAATGGTTCCGACATAGCAAGCATAATCAAGACGGAATGCAATATGGAAACAGTTACCAACATGCGCCTTGACCTGGTTGGTATACTTTGAAATAAAAAATTTTTTCGAGTAAACGAGTGTATTCGAAAATCAAAAAGAATTTCATAATCTCAGAAACAGAAACTGTCGAATATCCGAACATCGAGGATTTTCAAAAATGAAAAATGTTGAATAATCGAATATCGAGTTTTTCGAAATAAAATTATCTCAAATAACCCAATATATTCAAGAAAAAATTGCGTGTGAACGGATATTTTCTACCGACTTCGAAATTCAAGCAAAACTTTGGTCGAATTAGCACAATGAACACAGCGACTCTATGTAATAAGCAACTCAACAACAAACGATACTTGCTGATATATCAATCAAAAATGTGTATTACTGAAGTGATGGCAGATCCATTTCTGCTTGGTCTACGTCCACATAACACTATGGAGGTCACCCATCTAAGTCACTCTAAACGCCAGTTTCCTGTCCCCATTGTTAATAGAGCAAAATAGTAAAGACAAAATGCTCGTTCACGCATTAACAACTAACTTCAATCAAAGTTTGCAGATATCATTGAAATCAGTAAGCACACTTGTCAGTCATTGTCGGCAGAGCAGCACTGCAGAGACCTTGATACATTTTTGGAATTTTTGACTTTGCTCGCCGATGACAAGTGAGAAAATCTTTTTTTCGTTCTTTGATAATAACTGTTCTACTCAGACAATTGGAGCGCGCAGCGCGCGCGTCACACGGTGGCGCAACACCCAGTCCGCGGATGGCGGGACATTGGATGCCGCGCCGCTCCTGCTGGTCGCAGATGGCTGCCATTTTTCAGCTTTTCTTTGCCTATATCAAGTTCTGATAAACAACTCCACACCACTTCATAGGTCAAAAAATATAAATCTTGATTTAATCCAAAACAGGGCCCGGCGGGAGCACAGCTGGATATCGCTTTTGGCCCAAAAAAGCAAAGGGGTAGTCGTATTTTGGGTCGGGGAGGAGCCCCGGCGAAAATTGATGGCATACTCCTAGATTTTGACCAGTTTTCATAAGTTGCACTCATATCGAATGAAGCATTATCTTGGAAGTGAAAAACCTGGGCCCGAGTAATCTACCCTACTTGCCGGCAGGTCTTGCCCTTAACTAGCCGCGATCTCGCCCTCAGGTCATGAAAACTGCCAACGCCCTCTAGAGGTTCTCCAAAGCAATCAGTCTGGCACTCTCCAGGTATGACGGTAGAGCTTAGAGGTGGGCATCAGATGGAGATCGAAAAGATCCGAAAAATCCCGACAACTTCAAATTTTGGACCCAAAAGATTGACCTGCCGGCAACTTTGTGAGGTATTTTGTCGAGATTTCTGCCGCGATCTCGCCCTCAACCTGCCGGCATCTCGCCCTCATTTCAAAAAAGAAAAAGAAATAGTGTGTTTATTGAGGAGTGCAACCTGCCAGCATCTCGTCATGCGTCGAGACGGCGGCATAATCATGACATTCATCCTGTTAACTGGCGGATTTTTGATCGATTTCTTTACTTTCTATGTTTCTCTTTTGCTTCTGAGGCATACTTCTCACCCAAAACAGTCACAAATGTTCAAAAATTGCTGGCGTGATGAGTTTTTCTAGTTTGTTGTAAGATACAACGAGTTTTAAGTTCATCCTGAGCTGATTTCAATTCACTGTCGGTGTATGTCTATTTTATGTTTGTTAGAATTCTTAATTGAACAGCCACACGGTTGTCGGTAAGTATTCCTTATTGCCTGAATAAGCTTTTCCTTGATCTTATCTTTGAGAATCCCGATAGCACAACTATCGCATGCTTGACCAATTTCGATTTTTCGATTGTTTTCCTCGTTCAGCTTTGTTTTTACACTTCCCGTTATGCTGACGGTGCATACCTGCGAAGGAGCTTTCAACCAGCCGAAAGTTCAGATCATTATGGCTCTTTGTTGGAGCATTCGCAGCGCTTTTTGCGTCGCTGAGACCTCCATGTATCTGACACATTTTCTCTATGGAGGTTTTTTAATTATCTTTTTTGGTTCTTTTATGATTCTTTTTCATTTTATCTTATTTGCTTTTGTCAGATTCAGTGTTTCGTTGCTGTTGTTCTTCACTTCCCTAAACCTAACTATTTATCGAACAAGTATAAGGTTTTAGGCCCTGGCCAGACTTCGCTCAAAGACGCCCAAAAGCTCTCAAGCCCCCAAAAGCGCTCAAAAGGCCCAAATTTCTCTTATGTAACTTCACTTTCTCGTGTGAGGAGAGATGGGAGAGAGTGAGGAGACATTAGAGAAATTTGGACGCTGTTGGGCGTTTTTGAGCTTCTTTGAGCGAAGTCTGGCAAGGGCCTGGCATACCTCACTCGTCGCTGCGCGATTCAGCACAGAAGTAACTGTTCGTAACTGAGCGTTACCGCCCTTTGTTTGAGCAGGACCTGATCCGTTTGCAAGAACTTACAAAAGCAACGTGCCTATGCCTTGGAAATCGTCCACGACGAATTTGTGGAAATGTCGCAGAAAGCCAAGTCGCATGGACGTCGCGATTTGATCAGAATCGCGTGAGGTTTGCCTCAAGCCTAAGACTCGGCCGAGGCGAGCGAAGGTTCGAGCCGCTAAAGGTGCAACATCAATCGAGACAGCGTGTATATGTAGTGCGACATCATTTTTCCTTTCATTTCCAGTCGTAATATTAAGGCCATGCTTCCCCTCACTGCCTTTTGGCTTCCCCTCATGATGACTCGCACACTTTAATCTAACTTTGATCAGCTCAAAGCAGTAAATCACATGCGGCTGTCATAGTGTGAGTCTTATTACATTTCATTAGTTTTTCAATGTTTAGCCTTCATTTGTTTTTGATGTAAACATTTCTTCACTTTCTCTTGTTTTGCCTGCTATCGACCTCATATCGCAAGGGACTTTACGCGATTCTCTATCTTATGTTTTCGTATATTCAACAGAGGTAGACTTTCCTTGTTTTGAATTTTCCTCCTAATTTATTAGATTTATACTATATTTCAGCTCAATGAGTGTTGAAGCTTCCTTCCTTCCTTATTCCTTCCAACATTGCTGTAACTACTTTGTTGTGCTCTTCTGCACATGTCGCCGTCTTGTCCCACATGGTGAGTCAGTTCAGCGTTTTCTTCGTTTTTTTATTATTGCATTTGAATTGTAGTTGGTAAAAAACATTTTTTGAATGAAGCGAACGGGAATTTGCAGCAGTTTGGACACAAAAATGTTCTTGAAAAATAAAATGTAAATCCAGCATAAAGTTGTTTTTCTCAATCCGAGTGTAACTGCCGCACATGTACGCCTACATGCTAAAATGCTTCTCCGTCGTCTTCGCTGTTGACGCCTTTGAGGTTGAGAATTCTCGCCCTTTTCATCTTCCTCGAGCTTTCGTCTTTTTGCCGCTGTTTTGTGTTTACGGTTGTTTTACCTTGGTTCTTGGCCCCATATGCATGAAGACCCTTGTACGAAGAGCGGCGATATCATTGTTAGTTGTAAAATGAGGCGAGCGCGAGCCGCTGTTCCATTCAGTGAAGGACGTCGCTCTCCTTGGCGCCTCGGGCATAGTTCACGCGATTCCGTCGCCTCCCGATCCTTCCTACATCCGTACGAGTCCACTTCATGTTGATTACCTTGCACTTTTATTGCAGTAGTTACTCATATAGTCATGTCGGAAAACTATCACAACTGAAGTGCAAGATAATTGACAGACAATAGACTCGTAACAATTGTCTTGTCGGGAGAATCGGGAGAACTATGCCCGAAGCCTGAGGCAGAGATTTTCATGCGTACTAAGTCTGGAATCCAAATCATCTCGCATTCTTATTCGACTTAGGCCCCGGTCAGACTTCACGCGACTTAATCGTCGCGATCTAATCGCCAAGATTTCCATTCATTTTCATTTCACATCCAAAAATTTCGGGCTGGAAAAGTATCACAACCGAATGCAAGTTGATTGGCATGGAATGATGTTGTAACAGTTGTCTCGTCGCGACTCAGTCGCGACGATCAAATCGCGTGAAGTCTGCCCGGGGCCTTATGATCATGTTGCGCTGATGTATGAGCAAACATAATAGGTTCCTTTGGATGGAACAGTTGCACAATTTCTAGCATGAGGTTAGCTATGGGGTTCCTGTGTTGTTGTTTTTCTCTTGCTTTTCCTTGTTTTCCTGTAGTTTGAGTACAACCAAGCTAAAAGATATGATAGATTACTAACACCTTTGATGGCGGAACCTGCTTGCCATGCCAAAATTTTGAAAACTGTGCGGTGGCACACAATAGCGAGAAAACCTGCTTGACTGGACAGACTTACATAACATTCGTTATCATTATGATTGGTACTTTTTTAGGTATGTACTGTGAATGTGGCTTTGCCAGCACCCAGCTTCCTGGCAGCCTTCAGCAGGCCTTGGCACTTTCTAGAAGCAATGCAAAGCTGAACAAGTAAGTAGACATATTTGTAAGGACACGCCTGGCGATCTCTGCAACGCCTCATTAACCTCGCTTATTACTTTTCAGTCAAATCGACTATTTTTAGATTATGCCAGCCCATCAGTAATCTAGCTTTACGGTACTCAAGGCTTCTAAGTTTTTTCATCCGCATTTTCACAACCGTAAAGTTTTGCTGTAACCCGCCTCTCTGTCTCCAAAACATACCCACATCCATCTTATCTTCATAATAAATGCCTTTTTTATTCAAATTTAATCGAATCATTAGGCCTTTTATCTTATAGATAGGCGGTTTCTTATTCGCTTGTTCCTAGTGTCTGTGCTCATACCTTCGAATGGAACTGTCAGATTCCCAACAAATTTTCAATAATGCTTGAAAAAACATACTTCATAGTTGAGGTTAATCGCAGAATCTACAGGCTTCACTTAGACTCAAATGTCTTCTTATAATACCACTGTATTGAAATTAGCTAAATATTTAAAAGTAGAATGGGTGAGCGGAGGTAGTATCCAAGAATTTTTAGATACCTGCGCTTTATTGTGGAAATAGATCGGGGCTGTAACTAAATTATCTTCAAATTTATGTAATCTAGTCACAAGCGTGAGTTCATCATTATTTTGCCTCGCTTTTGTCTTCAAAACAGGGATAGGCATCCTCTATATGGCTCTATTGGACTTCAGCCTTGAACACGAGAACGAATTAGAGGAATTCACTAGACTAGTATCTAACTACTACTCAGTGAGTTTTTGAAGGTAAGCCAGATGACATTTAGAAGGTCATCCTCCATTTTGCTTAAAAGTGCTTCGCAATATTTTTCTCTTCGCTTCCTCTTATCGAAATTTTACTCAGATGTGGTTATAATTTTTCATCTTTGAAGCTTCTATAGCTGCAGTATCAAGAGCGATTTGGTTCGCCTCCACTTATTTACATTTCCTAAACGAAAAATCATGCCTCTTGCAAATTTGGAGACAGAGGTTGATTAATCATGATTTCCGCGAAGTAGCCTACCTTTGCAACTTGTGAAAAACGTCGAAGAGAGAAATGTGGAAAAGGAAGGAAACAGCAGGAAAATGGCTGGAAAAAAGACGCGCGTGTTTATCTGTCTGAAGGAATGAGCTGGTCTTGCTCTTGAAAGCAAACTCCGTAAACTCAAATGCAAATGGTAATAGACCAAATAGTCAAAAGAAAAGTGACATGGGCTTTCAGAAGATTCCTCATGTTGAGCTTGAGAAAACTACATAGGATCTTATAATCAAGTCAAGCGTATCGTTGTTTTGTGGCATCAATTCTCGTTTGCCCTACCCGAAATACACAAATGAACACGTTAAGCAAGGCCACTGCTGTACTTGATACGCTCCCGAGAATGAAAACTAGAGTACTCAAGTGGTTTAGTGGATAAACGTGCTGACTCTCGTTTGCAAGAGGAGGGTTCTATGTCAGCAGGGTGCAATGGCTTTGAGGTCGAATGTTACATTGCACTGTGTTTACTTGTAAAATCGAGAGGCTATAGAAACTCGCGAACCTCACGCCCAAACATGAGCTTGTCATGAAGTTCGCAAGGTCGCCGTTATGTCTTATGCCATCATGTTGGGTGGATTACTACGGGCCCTGATGTCGAATTTTTCACCTGTATCACCTGTATCCCCGTTGATCATCGTGTTGCACGAGCGGGTACCAGTGATGCCTCCATTCGTCCCTGTCTCGGGCGATTGTTGACCAATGTTTACGTATCGCACCAGGAACACGTGGAACGCTCTGAAGGACTTCATTAAAGGACTTCGTGAACATATCTGACCATCGCGTCGGCAGTCTTCCTCGTTCGCGTTTGACGTCCAGTGGTATCCAATCTGTTACAGCTCTCGTCCACCGGTTGTCGTCGAAACGCATTACGTGCCCGGCCCATCTTATCTTGTTCTGCTTGGCGTACGCGGCAGCGTCCCTGATCTTCGATCGTTGACGTAGGGTAGAACTTCGTAATCCTTGCCTCACTTGCGTGAGTCGATTCACTCCTAGCATCACTCTCTTAACAGCTCGTTCGATGACGCTAACCGCGTGTTCATCCTGCTTTCTCATTGTCCATGTTTCTGAAGCGTACGTCAAAGCAGGAAGAACCGTCGAGTTGAAAAGGTGGGCGCGGAGCCGGATGTTCTTGGTCTTCTTCACTACGTCCTCAATTGTCTTATATGCTCCCCATGCTGCACGTTTCCTCCTGCTCAGTTCCGGAGCTAGATCGTTCATCATATTGAGTTCACGACCTAGGTAGGTGTAGCTTGAGCATTCGGTGATGTTCGTCCCGTTGAGCATGAAAGGAGCATCAAGCACTCTTCCGTTCCTCATGAACATCGTCTTCGTTAGATTCAGCCGTAGACCGATCTTTCCACACACTTCGTCAAACTGGGCCAGCATTTGTTCCGCCTGCGTGATGCTTGGTGTTATCAATACGATGTCATCAGCAAAGCAAAGGTGGTGTAACTGCCGGCCGTCGACTTTCACTCCCATGTTGTCCCATTCCAACTTACGCATGACGTTCTCCAGAGCGGCACTAAATAGTTTCGGCGATATAGTATCGCCTTGTCGCACGCCTCTCTTCACGTCAATGATGATGTCCTTGTAGAATGGTGTTATGGTGGTTGTGAAGTCGTTATACAGCTCACGAATTATCTTGATGTAATGAGTCGGAATACCTTGATTGCTCAAGGCATCGATAACGGCTTCAGTCTCAACCGAGTCAAAGGCCTTCTTCAAGTCGATGAAGGTGAGACAGAGCGGCATCTTATACTCTCGTGACACTTCAATGAGCCTTGACACCGTGTGTATGTGGTCGATCGTGCTGAATCCTCTTCGAAACCCAGCTTGCTCGCATGGTTGTCCTTCGTCCAACTCTCTTCCGATCCTGTTGAGAATGACTCGCGTAAAGAGTTTGTAGACTACAGACAACAAGCAGATAGGGCGATAATTGCCGATGTCGCAGGGATCTCCCTTCTTGTACAGCAACACGGTTTTGCTGGTCTTCCATTGCCTTGGAACCTTGCCTTCCGTCAGGTACCGCGTGAAGAGCCTTGCCAAAGTCTTGATGAGAACTGGCGAAAGATTCTTCAGATGTTCTGGCTTAATCCTGTCGGGACCGGGTGCTGTACGGTTTTTCATCGACATGATAGCATGACGAATCTCGGAAGGAAAAACAGACCGTGCGACATACTCGTCCTCCTTGAGATGGCATGGTGGAAGGTGGACGTGGCTCGCAAAAAGATCCGAGTAGAAGTCGTGGATGACCTTCTCCATTGATCTTCGGGAAGCAGTTATGGTTCCGTCAGGACGACGAAGTGCGGTCATCTTTGTCTTGAAGTTGACGAAGCTTCGGCGGGCGTTGCGTATACTTCTTCCAGCCTCCGCGGCGTCAACCATCACTGCTACTCTTCTGTCGAATTTTTATTCCGAGTAATTATAAAAGTTACTTCAGTGTCGCCATTCAAGGTCTTGGGTGTCCAGGTGCGTTGTAACTGTGGTAGGAGGACGAGTGGTGGCGACGATGTCGTTCTTGAGATGATCTTTCCTATGGAAATTAATAGGAAAATATAGTATATGTTAGTGATGCATTAGAGCAAAGTATAAATGTGATTTTTAGCAAAACTAACCTGCTCTTATTACACTCATCTCTCATTTCAAGGTCCACCTATACTCCATAATCCCTTGTCGGGTATAGAAGAGCAGGGGAAGACGCGGCAGCATCAACCATACCTGTTTAATGACCAAAGTATGGACGTTACCCATCCCGGGTGGCGGTCAAGAATAACGATCAGAGGTGCGATAGGTGGAGCCGGGCCGCCAAAAGTGAAGGTGGTTCCAGCTACCACTGGCCGGCCAAAAGTGAAGGTGGTAGTGCCGGACACTCACCTCCCAAAAACGTCGAACCGGGGGAGGGACTTAGAGCGGACAATCTGAGCTATCCTTCTAGGTCGTTGCCGGTCGCGAATGCGCCAGTGCCGATGCCGCCATTCCGCACGGGACCACTATCAAAGTGTGCGCGTAGATGAGCCGCAGTTCATTTCTAATCTCACTTACTACATCTTCCCTTATATCTCTCTTTTTTAATTCGTTTTTTTTAGTTTTCAATATTTTTTATTTTCAGACGTCTTGCCGATCGGACTCCATGGTCCAGCCGCGCACGTTCTCCACCTGCCCTATACGACATCTTGCTGGATGCGAGGAGTATGAGAATGCGGACGTCACGCAATAAGTTCAATTTTTTTGGAAATATTCGGACTGGGGAGCTGGGAGTTGGCACTGTGGGGGGGGGGGTGAGTAAGCATGCTGATCACGAAAACAATATCTATCTCCACAGTTATGACTTATATTAGGTTGTCTCATAATTAATGCACGTTTTTCTAAACTCTTTTCGGAAAAGCTGATTCTTAAAGAAAGACCATTTTTCTTTGAACCTTTTTATAGTGCTCGGAAACACGATTTTTCTTTAGAAATTATGCACAACAATTGCGAAGTTTCCCAAAAAGCTTGTCAACATTGAAATTTTGACTAATTCTGAGCTTAGAAATCTTGTCTCAGACTTGCTGGTCGCTGAGGCCCCTATGCTACGTAAAAATCTCAGGCCAGAAGCGACTGGTCAAAATTTGCTACGTACACCTAGAGTGGACCTAGTACAACTAGTGCTAAGAAAGCGGAGCATTTCCTCGTCTTTTCGAGGAAAAAAATCAAAAAAAGGCAGTTTTTAGGAATCTTCAAATTGCTGAAAAAAGCGGCTACTTTTAAATTTTTTTTTCAAAAGTTTCTCGTAGAAGGCTCCCGTAACTCCAAACTTCACTTCGTTGAAGAACTGACCATCGGCTATATAACGCGCAAAGTTTGCATGATTGTAGTACATTTGAGAGCAAGTTAAGCTCTCTCAAAGTGTTTTATTATTAGAAAATTGTTGGGGAATTTATCGAGCAAAAAAAATCTTTCACAGAATGGCTACGATACTGCAAAAGTATGTGATATATAGTCAAAGGTTTGCTGTAAGCAGTGATTTTTATTGAGCTCAAAAAGATGTTTTTGGAAAAGAATTATATTGATCAAAAGTTGAAATTTGAAAAACGTGCATTAATTATGAGACAACCTAATATTTGACGATTTTATCGACTTTTTTGCAAAGTTTGATCTACGGGGGCTGGGAGCTGGCGCAGGGAGGTAGTCGAGCATGCAACAGATGTTTTATTTTCAGCGCGCTGATAGGAGTTTTGGTCGGCGTGGCCGTTGGAGTGATTATCCTGTCATCATTGTACTCGGCGTAAGCGGGAAGTGGAAGAAATCGAAGAAAGAATTTTCTGCCCTCCATGAGGCATATCACGGATTTTTTGGTTGAAGATTTGAAGTTGAAATGAATTTAAAATATTTTTTTTGAGAATGTGTCTCATGTCGTTTCCGTTTCTCGGTCAGTTCCGAGCTTAACAATCGTACTTATGCAATTTAGAGTTCAACTAACTTGCTTACCCGGCTTCGCTCGGGCCTGTCAATACACTGTAATAAAGCTCCGTCCCTATCCCTGCACAGCTTTTCCCTGTGCCCACTTCTACACTTCATTTCCCGTTCCCTGTGTTGTTTTCGAAATCAGCATGCTCGATCACCCCCCTGTGCCAACTCCCAGCCCCGCAGCTCAAACTTTGCAAAAAAAATCGATAAAATCGATAAAAGTAATCGATAATTCTCAAAACTAATATTGTATTCGAAATCGGCATGCCCACTTACCCCGCTGTGCCAACTCCCAGCCCCGTAGCTCAAACTTTGCAAAAAATCGATAAAATCGATAAAATCGACATCGATCGATAACGAAAAGTAGCCTATGACACGCTCCCTGTCTTGGAGTATATGTGTGTCAAGTTTGGTCCAAATCGGTTCAGAAATAAAAATTTCTATCCCGCACATACGTACAGACAGACAGACAGACATACACACATTCAGCTTTATATATAAGATTATTTCAAACTTTTAGTCATGCTCTTTCCAGAAAATATTGAAGTGATACTCAACTGGCGGATACAGAGTACCAAAAAACATGCAAGTCCATTGTTCAATTATCTGATTATTCATCAGTAAAAATTATTTAGATATGGGAAAGTCGGCTTCTTTATCGGGCTGTTGATGGTTGCAGTTCCTGCACTCATTCTGTTCATGCTGCTCATTTCCAATTGGCCGCGATGGACCCCGCGGCGATGCGAGCCGTAAAGGCCTGCTGAAGGCCGCGGAGGCCCTGGAGGAGGTGAAGGACGGCGGGGACGAGGTCAGGAGGGAGGCGGAGAGCACCTTTGTAACCTGCGATACCTCATGAGAGCTGATGTGATTTTGATTATTTGATGTTTTGTTATTTGTTGATAAAGCGTTGTTTTTTTTATTTGCATCAACAGTCAGCTAAAGCAATAAATTGCGAAAAATCACACTCACATGAACAGCCTTTTGATCTTGCTGCCTTTGCAAATTAGATTTATTGCATTGTTGGAGTGGCAGCTAGTTTGTGGGAAAAGCTAGCTGCCTAATTCCAATAAAAAAATTTTTTTTTCAAGAGGCAGCATGATTAAGACATTATGAAAAATAAGTCTTCCTAAAAATTTTATTCTGAAGGTTTGTTTCGAAGTCTGATGGGGATGCTTTTTATGGGAACCGCAAAAATGGATGTCAGAGAATCAGATTAAATATTCAGGAGTTGAACGTCTTCGGAAATATCATATCTTTCCACATCTCTAGCTTCCAACACACCCATCTGGGCTGCTTCTTCATCAGACGGTGAAAAATAGAACTGTGTGTAGAAGGTGTCTGGATTAAAAATATTAGGTCATTCCATGAGTTCGTAGCGTTTTTATTTTTGTCGTGGTTTTCTGGTGGAGCAGTTGGTTTACGGCAAAATATCTGGTATTATTCGAGAGAGCCAAATTTGCTCTACAAAACCTGGGTCGGTAGTAAACCTATCGAAACTCAGAGTTATAACTCAGAGTTAACTCTGAGTTATCTCTGAGCTAACGCGCAACTTTTTGAACCCTTTAACAGGTGTTTGAACAGATCAAATCCGGAAAGCGATGATATGGCAGGATTCTCCTTAACACGTAGTTTATTACTAGTAGCGCAACATTGTCCAAATCGTCCTGCACAAGAAACAGCGAAACCAAACGCGCAACTAATGTCTGCGATAACTCTGAGTTTGATGCACGTTCCAGTCTATCGTGGAACTTAGAGATAACTCTGAGTTTGGTCAGAGAAAGAGAAATAGTGCGCAAAAGAAGAGGGGCAGCTAAAAAGTCCTCCGGGGTACATTTTGCTCGTAGTTTAAGCAAGCATGATGGGGGGGGGGGTATCGTGGTGCGCAGTGATTTACAAAAATTTGAAATTTTGTAAAAACTTGGCCCAAGGGGTTATTCGGTGCGCTGGTCACGCATATGGTACCCATTTTTCACTATGGGGTCATGTAGAGGTGTTACGGTAGGTTTACGGTAGATGGGAAAAAATCACGAAACTGATCGAAACTTGGTACACGGGGGTTATTCGGGGCGCCGATAACGAATATGACATGTAGATTATACTGCAGTGTCGTCTGACGGGGTTACGGTAGGTTTACGGTAGATGAATTAAAGCGGCGGAATTAGCAGAAATTAGCCGAAATGGTACACTGGAGTTATTCGGGATGCAGATTGCGGACAATCTATCTGCTACTACACTGGTGACAAATGGAACGGTTACGGTAGGTATACGGTAAGTAGGACGAAATCATGGAAAGGCAAACTTTGCCCGGAGGATTTATTCTGTGCGCAAATCCTAATAGTCAATTCTTATCATTGCGTATGCCATCCACTTTCTTTATTGTTTGAAGGTTTTAGCTGCGCAAAAGACCAATCCTCGTGATGAACCATCGCTGCCCGATAGAAATGGAAATGAGTGAGGCTTTGGTATAACTTGTTTTGACCTGCTAAGTGTTAATGGAATGAGTGAGTACATTACGGCAAAGCAATTTTAGGGTTCATGGGTGTGTCATGGTCTAGCGGTTTAGTGATAGGATCTTTACGCTAGACCATACAGGTTCGAGTCCCTACTTTAACGTCGCTTTTGCAGCAAAGTGTTTAACAGCTCCTCAAAGCAAAACTCCGAGCTTGAGAGTTGGAATTTGGAATTACGAAAGCGGAACTCAGAGTTTCAATAAGCGTAACTCAGAGTTTCAAAAACGGAACTCAGAGTTATCTCTGAGTTAACGCGGAGCTTCAAACTCGGAGTTTCGACCAGATTACTACCGACCCTGCTTTTTATTTTCGAAGCAATTCTGATGATCTTCGGTTTATAACTTCTCAAAGTAAAATTTTTTGAATGGCAGAAAATAGCGATTTCGACACTTGCACTTTTCGCATTCTGTCCTTATCCTACAAATACTTCCCTGCACGTGTAGTCGGAACAGCTACTAGCAAGGAAGGCTGATATGCTGACACCATGGTGTCCAGCTATTATGCTAATGTTTGAGCGAGGTCCCAATAGCTGCAGTCTTCGACGGCTGCAGCTTGAGTTTTATGCGTTGTTTCGCAACAGAATGTTCTGTCCTACTGTCAGGCCTTAAAGATGAACAGCTTTGCCTAAGTGGCACAAAAGTCTGAATGCAAGCGCTGACCAGCGATTTTACGCTTTCGCAAAGTTGTGGCTTAGAAAACTCCATCAGCCGCCAAACACAAAACATCTACACATACGGTAAAAGTGCGCTCTATCCTTCTCTAGAGTGTTTCCCTTGACAAGAAGTTTATTTTTTGTGCATCATAGTCCGGTAAACAGTGTTCCTCATCACTCATAACAATTTCACAAGAAAAATTCCCTCTGGTGATTTCAGCATATGGAGCCAAAGATGCAGATGCCGAAAATGCCATTTTTTGCTGTACAAAAAACTTCGCTTTGAGCAGTTACAAAACGAAGGTCATTAGGTTTACTTCGAAAATAAAACACAGGTCTTGTAGAGCGAAATTGGCTCTTTTGGACATTACAGATACATTGCCGTAAACTAACCGCTTCACTAGAAAACGACGACGAGAATAAAAACGCTACGAACTTATGAAACGACCTAATAGATTTGTATTGTGCTTCTTCGGTGATCCGCTGTTTCGATTTTCTCCCGGTCCTCTAGTTCGACCGGGTGAGTCGGCGGGTGCGTGACGAGTTTCATGAAACCATTTCGTTGGGTACAACAAGAACTCATATGGAGTTAAATTGTCTGGTCCGCTT